TCATATTGTCAGCATATTATCTTGGCATCTGATTAGTCAAATTCAGTAATTGTAGTTAGCTGACACAGAATGTATAATTTTATTGAAATATCACCATACAAATCCAATTTGACAGATAATAGATTTAATTCAATGTTCCTATGGTGTGTTGATCTTTAAGCTAGATTCGGAGTTAAATCAAGTGCCGTCGGGCACCTATCATTACTTTCGCATGGATATGGGTTCCCAATCTGGGGCTAGTTGAACTTATCCTCTGCTCCTCCCCAGTAGCATTTTGGCCATCTTCCGACCTGGGAGTCCCATCTTCCAATGGCATACCGACATATCTCTGGTTGTACTGGTCCATTTAGTTTTCTTGGCAAGGATACTGGAGTGGTGTGCCATTGCCTTCCCCAGGGATCACGCTTGGTCTGACCTCTCTGCCACAACCGTCCCGTCTTGGGTGGCCCTTCACGGTTTCGCTCATGACATCATTGAGGTGCTCAAGCTCCAGCGCCCCGACAAGGCGGTGATCCTTTGCTGGAGTTAGGAGGGTTAGATTAACAAATTTCCATCTAAGTCTTTTATTGTATTGTAATTCCAATGTCTGGCTCTCCTGAGTGGTGCCAAATGTAGGCCTTCTAAGGTCAGTCTGCAGGAGGCATCTCACTGTCACAGGTTGGTGATTGCTATCCAATCTGGGAATAACTTCCAAGGGAGTAAACGCTGGCCGGAGTTCCCTGGAAACGCAAATGAAGTCTATAGCACTACTGCCGTTTGCTGAATGGAAGGTGAATGGGTATATAAATTTCTCATTTAAGCCTCTACCGATTGTGAGATCGAATTTTTATAGTAGGGCCACCAATGAAACTCCAGCTTTGTTTCTTTGACAGTCACGGGACCTCCATCCGAAGTTGAACAAGCTTGCATCTGGGGGAATGTTGCTAGCTGATGCAATCTTCAGTTTGGAGTTGCCCAATCTCACGTTGAAATCACCCAGGATGATGGTCTGTGCTGCCGGGAACAGAGTATTAATTTCCTCCAGCGCCCCTTCAAGAATTGGCCATATATCCCATTTATCTGACTTTGATGTTGTAGGTTGTATGTAAACATTTAGGAAGAGGATGGTTGGACTCCTTTTTGCCAAAGGGGCAGAAATATTTGTGAATTTGACTGTGAGGATGTTAATACAGTTTGTAGTACTTTTTAGTGAGATTTCTTCTCCCTGCCAACCTAATGCACCTTTGATTAAAGTGGCAATGCCACCACTAGGTCTGCCGTACTTTGAAAGTTTCATGGTTGGTTTGGACCAGGTTTGAAATCCCGAGAGTTGGCAGATTTGTTCCTCTTCTGTAATCCATGTTTCCTGGAGTGCAATAATACCAAATTGGGACAGAAATTCAACAAATTTTTACATGGGGCATTTGTTCTTCCATCCCGCTATGTTCCATGATATCACTCTGAAACTCCCTAGTCATTCCTGAGATTGTATTTGGTCATCAGCGTCCATGATTACACAACCATTTTTTGGGTGGAATGTGGTCCCCTTTGCTGAGCTATGGGACCATGTGTGGGATGTCTTACTACTCCTTGTGATTGCATCCGCCTCTTGTAATTGTTGTGTAGATGGTAATATGTTGTTTGTGGAGATACCATTAGAGCTTAAATGTCTCAACTGAGTATAATTATTGTTTGGGGACTCTGGTGTTTCTTGTGGATTTTGTGTCATGTTGAGCCCAGAATTCCCTAAATTTGAGGAGTCCTGGTTGTTTGGGGCCACTTGTTGGGGGGGGGGGGATTCATCAGGTTCGTGGCTCTCAACTTGGGAGACTCTGATCTGATCATTTTTTAGATGAGGAGAGATTTTCATCTGGCTCTTAGGATTTTTTTCCCTCTTTCCGGGTGGCAGAGCATCCGTAGCTTTTATGTCTTTAATACCGTTAATCATTTTGCCCAAAGTCCTTTTTCTTTTCCTTGGTCGTTGTTCAAGGGTGGAGGATTCTGTGAGGTGAACTATGGCCTGCACCTCTTGTTTCGAGTCCTTATAGGAGTGAGCCTTCCTTCCCATTGCTGCTAGAGTATTGAGCTGATTCTGAGGTCGTCTCTGGCATCAGCTCTTGGTTGCACTCCACATTTATTTTCAACTGTTCTTCGGTTCTTGTTATCGGTGATTTTGGATGATTATCGGGGGCAGATATCATCCTCTGTGTGAGCTCCTGGGGTGTTGTCAATGGAGGTTGAAGGGATTCAGTTTGAGCGGAAGGGCCATTTGTTGCTGTTTGGCCTTTTTTGCAATGAGAGTTTTTCAAGAGGGGTTGGCACCGCATCTCTGTGAAGGACTTTTTCACAATAATTCCATAGGAGCATCTAAGGTGGTCTCTTATTTTTAATATCTTTTGAATAAGAAGTTCATCTTGGAAGTTGATAACTGCCCTTTTATAATAGCTATCACTGGGCAGCCAGAACGGTGGCAGAATATCCTTTGGCTTTAATTCTCTCTGTAGGATGCTGCTTAGAGATGTCAGAATCCTATTTTTACTGCTCCAGTTACCCCAGTTTAAGCGTGTATCTTCTATATGAAACACCAGCTGTTTTTTTGTTAAGTTGCAGTGAGCACTTCTGCTGACAGGAGGCATCTCTTCTAACTTCTCTTCTAGCATTAATTGTGTTGGCTTCCTTTACAGGTTTCACTAGTTTGACCTTAGCTGTATGATTTGCTAAAGGAAGGTCCTGCCGAAACTTAGTCTGGTTCATTAGGGATTGTAACAAAGTATTTATTTCAAATATTTGCTCATTTATGTCTCTTATTCTATCACAAATAGGCAACATAGACTCTTGAGATAAAAACACATGCTGGGAAAGCAACTCAAAACAACTAGAGTTAGTTTTCTTACCATAGCTATTTGTCCCTGGGGGAGTTGGCGTGTTGCCATTTTCCTTCAGCATCTCAGGATAATCTTCCATCAGTATAGAGAATCTATTTTCTGTTGGTATTAGAGCTAAAACCGGGGGGGAGGGGGGTAAGTTGGTAACTTACATTATCAGTTGAAGAGGAGGATAGGTTCTATTTATATTTGCATTCCTTGGGCTCAAAGAGAGGGATAGTCTTTGGCTTCTCTTTCTCCCCATTGCGCTGCTCCTCCAGCTGGCCCATGCAGTTATCCAGGTCCAATGTAGTCAATCCCCCATTGAAGCAATCGACTTGGTAACACCAATATAAATTATATAATGGTGTAAATTGGATTTTCACCTTTGCAACTCATTTTTATACAGGTTGTATAGGTTGGAGTGTTGTTCTCCATCTTTTGTGTGGTTATTATAATTAGTGGTAGTGCTGGCCTGTCATCATCCCCTTTAGTTGCACCATATATCCCAGTTCAAACCAGATATTGTGGGTGTATCTGCCTTGATATTCAGGGTAATATGGCTGTGTGGAAGGGCACAGAGTTCACACTGTCATATATCACAGTTCAAAGATTATCTGCCTTGGTAATCGGTGTTGAAGATGTCCTCATTCCTCACATTTCTGTGAGTCCAAAGGATATCCCATTTCAATTTAAGAGTTTGCAATTCCCAATTTGATTGGTGTTTGCAATCACCATCCACAAAGCTCAGAGCCAATCTTTACAATTCTGTGGTTCAGATCTAGACACAGATTGCTTCTCTAATGGACAACTATATGTTGTGTGTTCTAGAGTTGGCAAACCAGACAATCTCTATATCTGTACAAACAATGGCACAACAACAAAATTGTATACAAACAAGCATTGTAAAATTCAATATATATGGAACCTACAGTTTTTCTTTTTTTTTCTTTTCCATTTAACCAGACTGGGCCATTTATTTATTTATTTACTTTACTTTACTTTACTTGTATACCGCAGTTTCTCAGCCCGACAGGCGACTCAATGCGGTTTACAACAAGGATAAAAATCAGACAAAGATATACAATTTAAAACCCTAATAGCATGGTATACAATATTAATACAACAATAAACAACACAATACATCTCATAACTAGAGTCGTGATCCAGTTCGTCGTCCGTTTTTCCATTCCTGTATCATAACATTCATTGCACTGTTGGTCCGAATGCCCGCTCAAACATCCAAGTTTTTAATCTTCTTCGAAACACCATTAGTGAGGGGGCTGATCTAATCTCCATGGGAAGGGCGTTCCACAGCCGAGGGGCCACCACAGAAAAGGCCCTGTCTCTCGTCCCCGCCAGCCGCACCTGTGAAGCAGGTGGGATGGAGAGCAGGGCCTCCCCAGAAGATCTTAGGGTCCTGGCGGGCTGATAGGCAGAGATACGTTCGGATAGGTAGCTTGGGCCAGAACCGTTTAGGGTTTTATAGCAATGTGTGGCGGGGAACAGCTAGTAAGTAAAATAAAGTAGTTGATTAATAATTTTAAATTTGTTAACAAAGTCTAAAATTTCCTTTCATCACAACAAAAGGCAAATGTAACCTTGTTTCTGAGAAAGTCATAGACTGGAGTCTTTTATGGCAATTACAATTGGGTAACACAGAGTTGTGCACTTGTAGCTATCATGTTACCTATGCAGCCTCTAGTTTAGGGACCGTAGGAACTGTGAAGGGCCTAAACATTCCAAAGGCACCAGATTCTGTCTTTGAAACTAAGCAGAGTCAGCTCTTTTTTAGTTCCTGGAAGGGGGAGACTGCCAATGAATACCAGGGGTAGGAACTGGGAAATCCACCTTTAGTATTCCTTATCCAAGAAAACTCAATGAAATTAATGCAATTGCCAAAATCAACACACAACAGGAAGGGACCATTAACTCACTGGATTAATTTCAGGGAGGAGGCAGACTGACAACAAGATCAACATTCTGGCAGGACCTGTTACATGATTTGATTTTTTTATGTGATAAGCTCCTTATGCAGATATATTGCATGCCCATTCAATGTAGGACATTTTTTTGACTATGCGTGGTACAAAACTGGTCTCATGTTGTATATATATGTACGAGGACGTTAGCAGGAAACAGAGGAAAGAACACTGAACCATCCTCTTTCACCCTTTTCCTAGCTGATTGGAAATAACCAAAGAGAAGGAGGACAGGAGAATGGGGGAGACTGGAATATTTTTTATTGTTCTTCTTGTGATTCTTCTGCTTGTCTACTTTCTGAAACAGCAGTGGTCATGCCGACATTTCCCACCTGGGCCTCTTTCCCTTCCTGTCATTGGAGGCATATGGAAATTTAAGTTTGGAATTGGATATACTGTAGAGACGGCAATAAAGGTACTTTTTTCTACTAACTTATGAATCTGATTCAGAATTAGTGAAAATCACTGTGATTTTTTTCTATGTTGGCTGTGGACAAAAGAATTGTGAGTTACAATAATAGTTAAATGTTTGACATGAAAACTTATTATTAATAGGTTTAACTGTTGTAGTAATTTCATTAAAGTTTTGCAAGAGTTTGGAGATATCGCTTACTCGAGATATAACTCTCAGAATCTTGTAAGCAGTATAGACGTTGTGTGTTATTGCTACAATCCAAAACGTAACTTTTCCCAGCTCTGCTTTTCCCCCAAAAGAATTCCCCCAGAGGTACCAACCGTGCATGAATGTACAATGAACAGAATACTTCTGTGCATGCAATGAGACATCTTCCGTTCCTCTGCTGTGCACAGTCTTCAGAGTTTCTCACGTATCTGCCGTGGATGGTCCTTCAAGGCCCCAGAGCAATTTCGATGACATGAAGGGGAATCAGGGTGAAAAAACTTCCTCCTTCACAGAATCAGTTCCATCAATAGAATAGCTTCATAGAAATGACATCCAATAAATATAGCTATTTAAATGAGGTGTAGGATGTCATATAGGACAGAAGGGGAAGGAGGATGGCAAGAAATCCCATGGAATGTAAGAACGTTGGGGGTTCAAAGCTCTGCAAAGTCTTTTGTATAACGGGGGAAATCACATTGGTCATGCTTAGAAGAACACTGAATAGATATCAACGAGATGGTTGTGGTAGTCGGTGTCAGCATTAAGTGGAAAGCATGGGTTGCATGGGGTGAAAGAATTGAGCAGCATCTTTGAGGCAAGTCCATTTATTTTAGCACTAGCTTAGTAACCTGGCGGTGCCTGGGTTAGGTATTTGGAAAGGATGATCATTAGTCATTGTTTGTTTTGGGCATTTTAGCAATGACCCCATTAGAAAATGCAGAAAGGTGTGGGTAGACTAAAACTCCCACCATCCTCTGTCAGTGCTACCCAAACTCCCCAAAGTTGATCATGATGGGAATGTGTGCCAAATTTGGTTCAGATCCATCAGTGGGATTCATAGTGCTCTCTGGATGTGGGCAGATTGCAACTCCCATCATCTTCTTTTATTGCCTCCACCCCCAAACCATGTCAGTATTTAAAGTTGCTCATTCCTCGAGGGTTGGTCTCAGAAGGTGTTATTGGGAGACTCCTGCTCAACCCCACAACCTTTGTCTTGTGGGGTTCCTCAGGGTTCAATATTATCTCCCATGTTGTTCAACATCTACATGAAGCCGCTGGGTGAGATCATCCGGAGTTTCGGGGTGCGATGTCATTTGTACGCAGATGATGTTCAACTCTGTCACTCCTTCCCACCTGTCACTAAGGAGGCTGTCGAGGTCCTGAACCGGTGCTTGGCCGCTGTGACGGTCTGGATGGGGGCGAACAAATTGAAATTGAATCCAGACAAGACAGAGGTACTCCTGGTCAGTCGCAAGGCCGAACAGGGTATAGGGTTACAGCCTGTGTTAGATGGGGTCGCACTCCCCCTGAAGACGCAGGTTCGCAGTTTGGGTGTGATCCTGGACTCATTGCTGAGCCTGGAACCCCAGGTTTCGGCGGTGACCAGGGGAGCATTCGCACAGTTAAAACTCGTGCGCCAACTGCGCCCGTACCTTGGGAAGTCTGACTTGGCCACGGTAGTCCACGCTCTGGTTACATCCCGTTTAGACTACTGCAATGCTCTCTACGTGGGGTTGCCTTTGAAGACGGCCCGGAAGCTCCAATTAGTCCAACGCTCGGCAGCCATGATACTAACAGGAGCGGAGCGCAGGGAGCATACAACTCCTCTGCTGCACCAGCTCCACTGGCTGCCGATTTGCTACCGGGCTCAATTCAAAGTGCTGGCGTTGGCCTTTAAAGCCCTAAACGGTTCTGGCCCAACCTACCTATCCGAACGTATCTCGGCCTATCAGCCCACCAGGACCCTAAGATCTTCTGGGGAGGCCTTGCTCTCTATCCCGCCTGCTTCACAGGTGCGGCTGGCGGGGACGAGAGACAGGGCCTTTTCTGTGGTGGCCCCTCGGCTCTGGAACGCCCTTCCCATGGAGGTAAGATCAGCCTCCTCGCTGATGGTATTCCGAAAAAGACTAAAAACTTGGATGTTTAAGCAGGCATTTGGTTAATTCGGTGCAATGAATGTGTCGACTACGGATTGGTAATATGGATGATGCAATTGGACCACGATTTTAGTTAGGAGATGTATTGGATTGTGATTTATGTGAAATATTGTGTATTATGTTTTTTACGGTTTTAATTGTATACTGTGTACTGTATATTCTGTTGTAAACCGCGTTGAGTCGCCAGTTAGGCTGAGAAACGGCGGTATACAAGGACAGTAAATAAATAAAATAAAATAAAATAATGGGTTTGCGTGCCAAGTCTTGTCCAAATCCATTGTGAGTTAGGTTCAGAGTACTGCTGATTATGGATGAATTATAACCCCTATCTTTTTCTGTCATTGCCCCCTCCCAAACCCCACCAATACTTAAAGTTGGCCTTGATGAGTATGTGTGTCAAGTTTGGTCCAGATCCATAATCAATTTGGCATGGTGTTCTCTGGAAGTTCTCTCTGGATGAGGGATGAACTGCAATTCCCATCATCCAGGATCAATCCCTCCTCCAGCCCCCCCCCCCAATACCTCCTCCAGTATTTTCTGTTGGTCATGGTGGACATATGCACCTTTGCCAATGGGTTAACATTGTCTCTGGAAAATAGAGACACAGACAAACACAGGCATATTTTGACCTCTATCTATGATTCTATCTATCTATCTATCTATCTATCTATCTATCTATCTATCTATCTATCTATCCATCCATCCATCCATCCATCCATCCATCCATRCATTSATRSATCCATCCATCCATCCATCCATCCATCCATCCATCCATCCATCCATATATCTATACACACTTATACACATATAATTTTTCATGAGCCTCACTGATGAAGAAAATAAGTTGTTCAAGGTTTCTTAGTTACTTTTCCAATTGCAAGGAAGTCACCCAAAGCTCATCTACCGACCACCCAATGGTGACTGGCAAAAAAGCACTATTGATATTTTTCTGAGGAAATTGTAGTATAACAGACTCTCATTGATATTTTAGTGTTGGTAAAAAAGAAACATTTTTCAAAAAGTCTTCCACAGAGTCATAGCAAAAGAGCAGTGACATTATGTGATCACCCCCATCTGAAGGCACTACATTTATGATGTAAGTGGCTCGAGGGAGATGGTTTTATGAGACTGGAGAGAAAGGGAGAAGGGCAGAAATAGGGAGTGGGAATGTTGCTATGGTCAGAAACATCAGAAATGAGGATCTGAATATGGTTACTATTCCTATATTGACCAGAAATCATTTCTTCATTTGACTGCAACTGTTCTTCTTCTTACATTGATTCAAATGGCAGTTGGCAGAACAATATGGAGACATTTTACTTTTGTGGGCGGGACATATACCAGTTGTAGTTTTGTCTGGCTTTGAAGCTGTGAAAGAAGGACTGATTGATCATTCGGAAGACTTCTCTGAGAGGCCACTGACTCCATATATTGCAGCTATATCAAGAGGAAAGGGTAAGTTGTGAAGACTACATCTTTCTCCAGAGAAACAATATGAGAGCATTGTCGAAGGCTTTCTTGGCCGGAATCACTGGGTTGTTGTATGTTTTCCAGGCTACATGGCCATGTTGTAGAGGTATTCTCTCCTGGCGTTTCACCTGCATCTATGGCAAGCATCCTCAGAGGTAGTGAGGTCTGTTGGAAGTAGGAAAATGGGTTTATATATCTGTGGAATGACCAGGGTGGGACAAAGGATTTTTGTCTGCTAGAGCTAGGTGTGAATGTTTCAACTGACCACCTTGATTAGCATTTAATTCGGGTTCGTCTATACAGCCCCCTTTTATTGAGGGAGTTTCCACAATAATCTGGCTGTTTGGATGCACCCTCAATCTCAGTAAATGGTTCCTTGGCATCCTGAAAGGCTTGGTTACAGTGGATTTTGCAAAATGGATGGGGAACATCTACCAGAAGTTTTTTCATTCTTTCTTTTTCTTATTGAAACCCATTTTCCTACTTCCAACAGACCTCACTACCTCTGAGGATGCTTGCCATAGATGCAGGCGAAACTTCAGGAGAAAATGCCTCTAGAACATGGCCATATAGCTCAGAAAACCTACAACAACCCAATATGAGAGCAAGCTTAAAGGCACCAGGAGGGTGAGGGGAGATGATGACCAGAAATCTGTTTGTGATCATTTTCTTATATCTGCATTTGCATTTATGTGGTGCAGTGCATCTCTGAGGTTCAATAAGAAAAAGAAAGAAAGAAAAAACTTTTGGTGGATGTCCCCCATCCATTTTGCAAAATCCACTGTAACCAAGCCTTTCAGGATGCCAGGGAACCATTTACTGAGATTGAGGGCGCATCCAAACAGCCACTTTAGACGAAGTCCTGGACAAACCCGAATTAATCCGCCACGAACCAGGAAAACCCACTATCAAATTAATTCGCCACAAACCAGGGTTTTCCTGGTTTGTGGCAAATTAATTTGATAGTGGGTTTATTCTGTGCCTTCCTGGAAGGTATGGGATAGACCCACTACTTCTGGTGTCTGGACTGCAGTCCAGATAGTCTGGGCTAAAGTAGCCTGGAAAACTGTGGGAATACCAACCCCCTCCCTAAAACCCCTTCAAAGCCCTAAAAAGAAAAGTACTTACCCAGCCTCCATTAGAGAACTGTCACTCCCCCCCCCCTTCTTCTGGCATGTCATTTCTATGTATGAGGAGAGCTGCGGCTGCTCTTTGATGGAGGCCGGGCAAGCACTTTTTTAAAAAAGGACTTTTTAGGACTTTTGGGGAGGAGATTACAGTGTCCTCGTGTTTTAGCTGAATTTTGTAAATAAGAATTATATATTGATTTGTGCAATCTATTTTGCCCAAGTCCATGCCCAACTCCTGCCATCTCTAATTTGATTGCCCAATGTAGCCTTGGGTTTGGATATTGAGATTGGTTTTGATTTATTGTAATGCCGTTTATAGTCTACTGTTTAATTGTTTGGTCAGCTGTTGTGTGTTGACCCATGTTTTTAAATGTGGTTTGGTTAGCTCTGTGACTATGGGACTTGGTCCGATTGTAAGCACCGCCGTGTTGTACACTGCCGTGAGTCACCCTAGGGCTGAGAACGGCAGTCAACAAATGCGGTAAATAAATAAATAAATAAATAAATAAATAAGCTGCCATGAGTCCCTTTGGGGGGATGGTGGCGGGATATGAAAATAAAGTTATAATAATATTATTATTCCTTCCATGCCCAGGTGTTGGACTTTCAAATGGACATACCTGGAAGCAGCAGAGGCGTTTTAGCCAAGTTACACTGCGGAAAATGGGAGTAGGGAAAAAAAGCATGGAGGGCCAAATAGAAGAGGAATCCCAACAGCTTGTAGAGGTTTTTGCACGTGAAAAAGGTATGTGTCAACTTGCAGAAGTTTGCTTGTAGTCTGCACTGGTCTTTGATGTGAAATTTGTCATATTTTTGTTGATATCCAATATCAACCTAGGTTGACATAAATCCCAAGAGTTCTTTCTCCAAAGAAAATCTAATTGAGACTATGAAGTGGTTGACTGATATTAACTGAACTTGATTTGCAGGGCAGCCATTTGATCCTGCATTGCCCATCACAAATTCAATCTCCAACGTAATATGTGCCATATCTTTCGGATACCGTTTCCCTCTTGAAGATAAAACCTTCAAGGAACTGATTGATGCTGTGACATTTACCTCAAAATTTGGAGGAAGTTTTTTTTATGTGGTAAGGAGCATTTTGAAAACAATTGCAATAATGTTTTAAGTGTTGGATATTGTCATGGCAAAATGGAGTAAATTCTGCAGAGGTTAATCCTCACACTTTACACTAGTAGATATTTGACCATTCCATTGTTATGTATGAGGATGAATGCTTTCTGAATTTTTCTCTCAGTTGATGGAGAAAAAGAAGGCTGGAATCGTTTTAGAGAGCCTCATCATTGTAAGTGGACTTAGGTTTGTAGGAATTTAAAGGGAGAAGGCTTATTGAATGCATGGGCAAACTTTGGCCCTCCAGGCGTTTTGGACTTCAACTCTCAGAAATCTGAGCCAGCTTACTGGCCATTAGGAATTGTGGGAGTTGAAGTCCAAAACACCTGGAGAGCCAAATTTGCCCATGCCTGGTCTATCATGTCTGCATCCAATTTCGGTCTGCTACATTACTATAAACCAAAGTCAACAAAGAGATTGATGGAGAAGGAGATTGATGCAGCATAGAACATAAGGTATATGAATTGGAATTGAGAAACACCATCTAATTGTTGATGAGCATTGAGCACTCTTGTTTCCTGTTTTTCAATCTCATAATTCAGTTTTATCTTATCACCCCTCCTACGTAAAGTTATGTAACGTAACAAGTTATTCATGGCTGGTGCAATATTTTTGCAGTTACCACACTAAACCTACACATCCCAAAGAATTTTGGAAAATTACTCAGCACAGCAAAACACATTGTTTTGTGTGCAAACATTACAAGGGTTGTTACAATTTTTTCACAAAAAGAGCACCTACTGCAAATATCATAGGCAGCCTTGTCTAACGTAGGAATGACAGGGCTACATTACTGACATGATATGAAACCATGGTAGAGAACAACAGTCTGTTAGGTATAAATGGCTTCTAGGGAGAGTTAAATTTGATTGAGGATCAATTTATTTGTCTTTTTTACAGTCCATGGTGTCTTTGGGGCCATCTAATCAACTGAGCCACTTTCACTTTGGGAACAGGTAAACTGAGGAATGAAGATGGCCTCTGCCTTGCTTCCCTCTAACTGACCATAATAGTGCCTGGAGGACACGAAAGTGTCATCTGATAATCCTCAGCACATGGAATGGTGGCATCCAGCACACCGGGATTGGAGAGGGGAGAGTACAAAGGGATTCATCTTCCCTTCACTGCCTGGTATGCCGGAGATCACCATTCAAGCCACTGAGGAGTGTTTAATGCCATTTCAGCTACTCTGATATTTGTGCTGTTGAAGGCTTTCATGGCCAGAATCATAGGGTTGCTGTGAGTTTTTCAGACTGTATGGCCATGTTCCAGTAATATTCCCTCCTGATTTTTCACCTAGATCTGTGGACAGCATCTTCAGACCTCTGAAAGTGCTAACCACAGATGCAGGTGAAACATCAGGACAATTTTATTGTCCAGACGGTAGAAGAGGCAATAAGGGAATCAGCTCTTTTGGATCTGATCCTAACAACACTGAGGATCTGTTTAATGGAGTGGAACTGCTGGGATCCTTACGTGAGAGTGACCATGTGTTTCTGGAGTTTGTGATACAAAGGAAGGGGGAAACTAAAAGAAGTCAAATATGCATTCTAGACTGTAGAAGAGCCGACTTTGGGAAATGTAAGGAAAAACTGAGTGTGATTCCATGGACAGGAATATTAAAAGAGAAGGGAGTTAATGATTGATGTGAGTTTCTTAAAAGTGGGATACTGAAGGCACGATTGCAAACAGTGTGAGCAAAGAGAGAGAAAAATAAGAGAAGTGTAAAGAAATCAGAATTGATGTCCAAAGAAGATTTAACTGAGTTAAGATTTCAAAGAGACATGCACAAGAAATAGAAAATGAGGGAAATCGCCAAAGAGGAATTCAAATAAATAACCAACATATGTAGGGAAAAGATTTGTAAGGCTAAAGTGAAAGATTATCTCTGGCTCAACATCTTCTTTTCCTCAGTCTGTCATGAATAACTTTTCAATAACTTTAAAGCATCAATTTTTTATTGCAATTTCCAGTGTGAGAGGGTATATCAGATTACAGAAAAACATTTAAAAATACAAACATACAGATTCTATGCAACTACATTGGATTTACAATTACATGGCTAACAAACAAAGGTGAATTATATTTTCACTCACCATTAACACACATGTACAAGCATTCATCCACATGCATCCAAATATTACCATATCCTTTTCTCCCTCCTTGGAGAAGCACCTGTTAGGCCAGACCCTGCTTTCCTGCAGCCTGCCAACACACAGTTCCAAAACTTTCATAATACCATAACTTAAAAACTCCTCTTTCCCTAAGAACAATGCCAGATCTCTGTTTTTCTGTACAGCAGAACCTGACTCCCTGCACAAAATCTAAGGCTCCCGTATCTTGGGAGGTCGGACTTGGCCATGGTAGTCCACGCTCTTGTCACATCCCGCATAGATTACTGCAACGCGCTCTACGTGGGGTTGCCCTTGAAGACTGCCCGGAAGCTTCAGATGGTCCAGCGCTCGGCAGCCAGGTTGCTAACGGGAGCGGCACTCAGGGAGCACACCACCCCCTGTTGAGCCAGCTCCACTGGCTGCCAATTTGCTACCGGGCACAATTCAAGGTGCTGGCTTTAGCCTATAAAGCCCTAAACGGTTCCGGCCCCACTTACCTCTCCGAACGCATCTCCACCTATGAACGTAAGGACGTTAAGATCGTCCGGGGAGGCCCTGCTCTCGGTTCCGCCGGCGTCACAAGTGCGATTGGCGGGGACGAGAGACAGGGCCTTCTCGGTAGTGGCCCCTCGGCTATGGAATGCGCTACCAGGGGACATCAGGCAGGCCCCTTCGTTACTGGTGTTTCGGAGGAGGGTTAAGACGTGGCTCTATGAGCAGGCATTTGGATAACTATGTGATGACAACCAATTTATTGACGGCATTGAACAAGGAATGAAAAAGGATTATGAGAACGGGATCTGATTCTAATGTGAGGCGTTGATGATTATGTGTGCTGTTTGTGTATGTGTGTCCGATATATTGTTCAGTGTTGCTTTTTATTGTAAACCGCATTGAGTCGCCGCCTCAGGCTGATAAATGCGGTATACAAATGGAGTAAATAAATAATAAATAAATAAGGCTCCAAAAGTGCACTTCTTTCTCTTTCCTTAAGAAAGAAGCCCCAAAGTGTCCAGAATCATGCTTTCCCATAACATATTTGACACTCTGAATACAGCATCTCTCTCCTTCCCATGGGGCAGAGCATGGCAGGTGAACCAGACTCCTCAGGTCAGTCACAATTTGATCATTAGTAGATCCAGCCTTTTATAGGAATATTCTGCTGACATAGTCTCAAAGTTGTAAATGAATGATAGACGTCCTCTATCCTGGCTCCATCTTTGTTTCCTGGCCACATGTTGATTCTTCTGGATTGGTGTTGACAAACACGTCTTGTGTTGACTTCCTTCTTAACATTGTAAACATTTTTCTTATCACTGTCCAGTTCTGCTCACAGTTTACTTTTCAGTTCTTATTAGCAACTTTTAATTACAGTTCCAGAAATCAGGTAGTCAGTCATTGTAGGCCTTAATATTATACTGGTGTCTCCAAAATTATTAACTCTATCCATACATCCTTCCATTCTTCCATTCATTCCCACACATCATATTAAATTCACATTTATCAAATCTGCATGTTGAATTTCTTATTACAAGTCTTCTCCCAAAAGCCTCGTCTGAAAAGCCTCATCCTGCCCAGACTCAGATGCTTCCATTCCTATTGAGCAGAGGGTCATACCTCTGCTCAACAGTAGCAATCTCTACAGTATCAGGGTACTCATCCACCATTCTGCTGCTGGGAGGAAACTCTCCTCCCCATCATCCTTATCTTGCCTGAAAATCCTGACATGACGTAGTCCAGGAATACCTGGCTAATTTTCGAGGGCTAGATGAACTACATCCAAGAGTATTGCAGGAGCTAGCAGAAGTAGTTTTATAACCAATGGCAATCACCTCTAAGAATTCTTGGAGAACAGGAGAAATCCCGGCAGACTGGAGAAGGACAAATGTTGTCCTTCAAGAAGGGGAAAAAAATAGGACACAAAAGCATTACTGTCTCCATTTCTTGTTTACAGCCAATAAATGTTCTTATCCTAAAGCAACTTGTGTGTGTCAAAGCTGCTTTAGCTGATTGACTGTGTTTCCTTGCCTCTGCCCTACTAATGGTAGGTATTTGCTTATTTCTTTGTAGCTATATGAAATGTTCCCATGGCTCATGAAGCATCTTCCAGCGCCTCACAACGAGGCATTTCGTGCTACAAAGATGCTGCTTTCATTGGCAAAGGAAGAAATACAGAAACATAAAGAGCAAATGTCCTTTCAGGAACCACGGGATTTCATTGATTTCTACCTGCTTGAAATAGAAAAAGTAAGTACCTGCTTTGTATCCAATTATATCCATTCCAAGAAATGCAATGGGACTTTGGTATCCGCTGTGGTATGATTACAGGATCCCCATGGATACCAAAATCTGTGAATGTCCAAATTCCATTCTCTATCTATATAAGTAAAAATGGCAACACCATTTGGGGTCCCAACCCATAGTTTGAGAAACTCTAATATAGATGATGTTGTTCATCTGGAGCAGATAAAAAGGTAACCCCCCCCCCCAACCACACACTCATACATACATACACGGTCTATGTCAATGAGCAGAAATTAAAAGCAGGTATAAAAGGACCACTGGCTTTCAGATGTATGTGCCTCTAATAAGGATGTCACAAAGGAATAACTGCCCCAGGACTAAGGCATTCTCACTACATCCAAGACCAGAGTAATAGCAAAACTCCATAGTATAGACACATTTTCTGGATCAGCACCTCAGTCCTGCCAAGAAATTCTTGGCTAGGAGTCTTGCTGTTGAAACAGCACCCAAATTCACATGCTTACGAAATCTGTTTCACCAGTAGAATAATATAGTGCTTCCATGCCTTAGTGTTCCTTGCCTTGAAAAACCCTTCAAAATACATGAGGTTGCAATAAATCAATAGCCAACATGAAGGCACATGCACACATGTATAAAGACAGACTTGAAAAAGAAGCTTTGTAGTCAGTCATTAGTCATATTTCATCTTTCACATTGTCACCATCAGAGGAAGAATGATCCTACCTCTACATATGATGAAGAGAACCTGGCTCAGGATATTCATGACTTATTTTTTGCTGGAACGGAAACGACTGCCACTTCTCTGAAATGGGCAGTCCTCCTTTTGGCAAATCATCCAGATATTCAAGGTAAGAGAGAACACTGAGCAGCAAGAACAACAAACTGCTGTGTCAGTAGTGACTTTTTAACAATGTACTCAATCAAAGAAGAAAGAAAATCAGATCTAGCTTCTATTCTTTCTATGAATGTGGTAGACATTTATAATTGGACCACACAGTTTACAGGAAACCTACATACAATTTATATGTTTATCTTGTCAGAAATAAATTGAGAATACAGTGATAATGTATAGGAAAACCACAAACAGGGTTAAAATCTTGGAATAATACTAAATGTCCTTTGACCAGAAGCTGGCTACTTGGAGTGCCTCTGGTGTCACTGTGTGAAGGTCCTCCATTGTGCATATGGCAGGGCTCAGGCTGCAATTAGTAGGTGGTCTGTGGTTTGCTCTTCTCCACACTTGCATGTCGTGGACTCCACTTTGTGGCCCCATTTCTTAAGGTTGGCTCTGCATCTCGTGGCCCCGGGGCAGTCTGTTCAGCACCTTCCAAGTCGCCTAGTCTTCTGTGTGCCCAAAGGGGAATTTCTCATCAGGTATCAGCCACTGATTGAGCTTTTAACCTGCCACTTTTGGCCTCTCGCTTCCTGAGCTGTTCCTGTGAGTATCTCTGTAAATCTTAGGAAGCTATTTCTTGATTTAAGGCATTGGCTTGCTGGCAGATATCCGAACACAGGGTCAGATATCATGTCACTGCCTTGGTCTTCTCATTATAGGCTGCTACTTCTTGATGGATGTCAGTACTGGCTAAAAAGTAAAATTTCTCCAGTGGTGTAGGGCATAGACATCCTGTGATAATGTGTCAGGTCTCATTAAGAGCCACATCCACTGTTTTAACATGGTGAAATGTATTCCACACTGGGCATGAGTGTTCAGCAGCAGAGTGGAATATGTACACTGATAGATACCTAACTCCAACCATCACCCTTGTAAAAAAAGAAGAAGAAAGAAGCACAATTAAAGTCCTGGTAGACCCCACAAACTGTATCGTTGAACCCTACACCCTTCAATGTGAACTGAACCACCTAAACTGGTCTCTACAGACCAATGGATACTCCACTACAGACATTGGAAGAGCTGCAAGACTGAGAACAAGCCACGAGAATAAAGACAAAGATCCACCCAGAGGAAAAGTGTTCTTGCCATATATCAAGGGAACCACTGACTACACAGGGAAGCTGATGAGGAAACACAACCTGTAAACAATCTACAGAGCCACCAAACATATTCAACAAATGCTCCTTTCAGCAAAGGATAAGAGGGATCCTCTCACCACTGCAGGAGTGTACAAGTCTACATAGGGACCACCAAACACAGAGCCTAGACACGAATCAAAGAACACGAAAAGCACTGTAGACTAATTCAACTAGAGAAGTCATCTATAGCAGATCACATGATGAACCAACCTGGACAAAGAATATTATTTGAGAATACAGAAATTCTAGACCCCATTGACAACCATTATGTCGGACTACACGGAGAAGTCATTGACATCAACAAGCACGTGGACAATTTCAACAGAAAGCAGGAAACCATGAAAATGAACAAAATCTGGTTACCAGTATTCAAAAACCAGATAGCAAACAATCAAGTTTTAGTTAACACTTCCAATCAGAGGATGCCTTCAGGTAACAGAGGCAAGGCTATTTCTTTGCAGATACCCTCAATGATTGAATTTGCAGCTACATGGCCACTCAATGCTATTCAAGCTTGCCAATTGCAACATTCACACTTGCTTTAACAGACAAGGGCATTCCACAGATATATGTACACTCCACTTGCTTCACTGCCAACAGAACCGCTGAAGATGTTGTGCTGTCACGCGCTGGGCCTGTAATAATTGTCTTTTGAACAGGACGTGCACTTTGTGCCCAGCGGGAAGCCAGGGTGCCTTGATAGAGAGGCCCTAAGGATTTTCCTCTGGAAAAGTCTTTAGAAGCTTGAAAGGTTTAACAAAGTCCTTTATTATTGAAGAAATTAAACAAATACTTCAATCTTCAACAACAATCATACAAATGACTGGAGGCTTTCTTAATCTTGTCCACAAGAGACAGGCAACTGGCTTTGAGAACGATTTCTTTTCTTTTGAAAGGAAAACCCCTTTTTAACCTCTCCTAGGCAATCTACTATCTAGGCTTTGCTGATGTAGGTCCTACTACTGGTTTCAAACTACTTCTTGGGTCCCGAGTAGACCTACCAGACAAGGCTTTGTAGATTCTCCAGCTGGAGTTCTTGGGGTCTGTAAAACTGTTTCCCCTGAATGTTGTAAGGCTGAGAGGCTGTAAGTTCCCAGCCAGAGCTTTGAGACTATTTCTCCCCAGAAGCTGTTTCCCGGGAAACTGTTTTCTCCGAAGCTGTAGGGAATGAAGCTTTTCTGCAGGTGGAGCTGGTCCACGTCCTGTAGCTTAATTTCTTTCTGTAAGACTGAACTAAAAATGGCTCCCTCTCCTCCCAGGGCCCTGGGGAAAGGGGCGGAACCAAAACTTAACAATGATTGATGGGTCATTGGCCCTATAATTGCAAACCAAGGGAAGTCACCTTTGCAGAATGCCTGAAACCTTGGAATGCATGTTTTGCATTTCTTAACCAATACATACATCAATGTTGCTTATTCCTCAAAATTGGCATGTCTTTGAAATGTGAACTGGAAGTGTCCAGTCTACAAAAGTTTATATTAGGTGAAAGTATATAGAAACATCTTTATATGCATTAACAAAGTTTTTAAATATTTGAAAATTGATTTTCCAATGTTTATGTCAGCAAAAGGTAAAATAAAAATACACATATTAGGCGCAATCAGCAGAGAATCATACACTCAGTTTCACACAAACTTTTCTATTAGGTTATGCATTGCTCCCAAAATTGTTTGAGCTTTTTTTCTGCCTCCAGGGCAAATCTATTATTTATTTATTTATTTATTTATTTATTCTATTTATAGTCCGCCTTTCTCAGCCATACGGCGACTCAAGGCGGGTTACAGATTGGCATAATTCAATGCCAGGCATTCATAAAAGTGCAATTAAAAACAATCAACATGACAATATAAACATATATAAAAACCATTAAAACATATAATCATCGGTGTCATCCTGTTAAAAATGTTATCCAGTAACATTGTCTGGCCATTCCATGTTCATCATTCATAGTTTCATGTTATCTATTCTGCTGCGTTCTCAAAAGCTTGCTTTGGAAAGTCAGAAGGGAGGGGGGCAATCTAATAACCCTGGGGAGGGAGTTCCATAGTTGGGGGGCCACTACTGAGAAGACCCTGTACTTCATCTCTTCCAATCATGCTTGCGAGGCAGGTGGTATCGAGAGCAGGGCTTCCCTGGACGATCTTAAGCTCCTAGATGGCTCATAGGAGGAGATAGGTTCGGACAGGTAAGCTGGGTTGGAATCATTTAGGGCTTTATAGGCTAAAGCAAGCACTTTGAATTGTGCTCAGTAGCAAATTGGCAGCCAGTGGAGCTGACGCAGCAGAGGAAAAGTGTGCTCCCTGAATGCCGCTCCTGTTAGTAACCTGGCTCTCTGTGAAAGGGATCTTCCGGTAACGGCCTTCGAGTACAGCTGATGGGAGAGCGGGGCATCGAGCCAGGGTGAAAGCCCTTCGATGAATGGGAACCTCTAAGTTTGTTAAATATGCCATAGGGGAGGCAAGATATCTGCTGTCTTCATTGATAAGGAAGGTTGAACCGAGGCCAGATCTAGTTGTCACTCTGTGTCTGTGATACGTTGTTTAATAAGTGCTTTGGCTTGATTGTAATCCATAGCAAGTAGTAGACCCGGAGAAAATCCCAATGAGGAGATTTTTGATGCTACCGCCTGCTTCCATGTGGATTGGAAGTCATCCTTCATGGTTAGTGGGGCAAGACCAAAGGGTGCACGGGATAGTCTGAGCCAGAGGTTGAGTATGGCCACCCACACCCTGGGCTCCACTCTCATAAAGCCCGTCTCTAGTCGCAGGGTGGCATTAGAAACGCATTTAGGGACCTGCAAGGCCGATCTCAGAAACTTTGACTGAACCAGCTCCAATGGGGCAAAACTGGGGAAGGGGCCCAGCTGAGCACCATACAAGAGTTGGGCTAATGACTTGGCTTCAAACAGCTTGAGCGCTGCCGGTGTGAAGTGGCCCCCTCTTGTCCTGAGATATTTAAGAATGGCAATTGAGCTCCCCTGCGCGGTGTTGGATACTTGATCCCCATGAGCTCTTCTGCTACCATTAGATTGGAAATGGACCTCTGTTAGCTCTCAGCCAGTCCGACACAGCATCCAAGCACCAGTTTAAGGTCTGGACAGCCTCCTCGGTGACAGGTGAGAAGGAGTGACAGATTTGGACATCACCTGCATAGAGATAACATCTCATTCCGAAACTCCGAATGATCTCCCCCAGTGGCTTCATGTAGATGCTAAATAACATCGGGGACAGGATTGAACCCTGTGGGACTCCACATAACAATGGTTGTGGGGCCAAACAGGTATCACCCAATAACACCTTCTGGGACCGTCCCTCAAGGAAGGATCGGAGCCACTGCAGAGCAGTGCCCCCGAGACCCATATCCATGAGGCGACCCAGAAGGATACCGTGATCGACGGTATCGAAGGCCGCTGAGAGGTCCAGCAGAACTATCAGGGACACACTCCCCCTGTCCAGCTCTCGGCGAAGATCATCTACCAAGGCGACCAAGGCTGTCTCAGTTCCATGTCCCGGCCTAAAGCCAGACTGTGCTGGGTCTAGATAATTAGTGTCTACCAGAAATCCCTGGAGTTTTGTTGCCACCAAACGTTCTATGACTTTGCCCAAGTAGGGGAGATTGGAAACTGGCCAATAGTTGTCTAATTGAGTGGGATCCATTGATGGTTTCTTCAACAGCGGTTTTATGATAGCTTGTTTTACATTTTGTTTTACATTACTAGATTTTGGTGTTGCAGTTGCAATTAGAATGGTGCACATGTCCACCATTAGTTAAACTTTTGCACTTTAAGCTTTAAAGTTTCATGAGTGCCCCTGGGAGTTCTGGAAATTTGACTATATGTTGATTTATAACTCTCTTGTTATGTTATACCTTGTCATAGTTTTGGGGGGGTTGACCAAGCTTTATGCCAATATTCTGTTTCAGGCTACCATGGTGCTCCAGGTCAGAAGGGGGATAAGGGTGATGTGGGCCCTCCAGCAAGCTTGTTTTAAGCTTGCTGGAAACTTTCCCTCCTGTAAGGAGGCATTTACCACCACCTTCACCCACTCTGCCAAGACTGTAGGATTTGGAGAAACCAGGCTCAGATTCCGATTGAGCCATGAAAATGGCATGAACTCTTTGGAGAGAAAGTGAGACATAAATATCATAAATTTATTGTGATTTGGGAGTTGTTATCTATTAAATTATAATGGATAGACCTGTATGAATTTTTCATTGGACATTATTAAAATCCATGAATAATTATTCTGAAATCAACTTTAGTATTCATAATAAAATTTTCATCAATTTCCACCTTTTTCCACAGATAAAGCTTATAAGGAAATAGAAGATGTTTTGTGCTCCTCTTTCTTCTGCTATCAAGATCTAAAGAAGCTCCCTTATACAAATGCTGTGCTTCATGAGATTCAGCGTTTTAAATATCCCTTCTTATTTGGGTTCCCAAGACAAACTGTCAAAGATGTGAAGATGAGAGGTTTTCTCATCCCTAAGGTAGAGAATGTAGATATGCACTTCTGTATCCCAAGAACAAGGATGGGAGATAGAAGATTTTAAGAGATTTACCACATAGATTGAGCCAGCGTGCAGTAGTGGTTTGAACAATGGATTTGGTGCTCATCTACATTGATCACTCAGTGCAGATTGAAGGCAACTCAAAAATGTGGTGTCTAAACAGGCATAACAATTCATTTTTGAGTCCTTAAATTGGACTAAAGACCTCTTCATGTGACGATTTCAGACTGTGCCATTTGATGGCAGTCGTGGCGAAAGGGAAGGTGCTTGGGGTGGCTCATAGTGCCCCACGTGCCCTCTCTTCTTCCCCCATCATACGCTGGGGATGGGACAGTGTACATTGGCACATTGCCCCACCGCCCTTTCAACCATCATATGGGGAAAAGGGTGGGGGTAAATTCTGATAGCTCCATCGGCACTTCCCCTCCACTTGTGGGCAGGGTGTGCCATGCACTGTGTGATGGAGCACGGCAGGTTCTGTCCTTGCTGTGAATAAAGGCAGCAAAATGGGGCTAAAATTCCCTGTCTGAAGAGGTCCTAAGCAAATTTGTGTTAGTCTCCAAAATAGGCTACTGAATGCACTTCTGTGCATGCAGGTGTAACCACTCGTGATGCTGACTGCATTAAATGGGCTGAATGCTCTCTGATGCTGTATTGGTGTCTAGATGGTCCAGTGGAGCCAAACTACATCTGCCCTGCTGGTCCATCCCTTGTCCTATGTGTCTCCACTGTTGCTCCTTCTCAGCCATGGAGCTCCCTGCGAGCGTCTAGCCAAAATAGCCACCACTGCAAAGGTCATAATATGCAATTAACATGGAGGGAGTAAAGCAACCTCATCCTTCTTGCTGACCACATAGTGCCTTGTTAGGACATCAAGAGATGCAACACTTACACAGAAAAAAATGAAATGCAATGCTACAGGATGGGTATGCCTGGCTTGACAGCAGTATATGTGAAAAAGATCTTGGAGTCGTTGCGGACAACAAGTTGAACATGAGCCAACAGTGTGAGGCAGCAGCTAAAAAAGCCAATGTGCAAGATAGGCAGGAGACATCCAGTGGAAGTTTACTTTTATTTTTTTTAATTGACACACTGGACCACATATGTGCTGATCTGGATATCTGAATGTGCGTACAAGCAGATTTCTTGTCACTCCTTATATATCTTCACCCTCTTGCTACCATCAGAACAAAGGCATTCTCAAAATGTTCTCATGGGAATTGCTTTCCAATTGTGTTTCCATTTAGTCACCTTTGCGTCTGCAGCTCCATTTGTTTACAGCCCTCATCAGCTGTTTCAGGACAGGAGCAGTCCACACCAGCAAATAAGAAGGAAAGCATGCATTTTTCTTGCGTGCAAGAGCATACAGTCATGAAGATATGCACATTTTTTTGGATCTTTAGCTCATCTTTTTATGTCTTACTCTTTAATGCAAACCAGCACACATTTTAGGCAAATGTCATTTAGCCATCCCCCCTTTCATCCTAGTTCCTTCTGCATTTTAGGCCTGTGTAGAAGGGGCCTAAGAGAGATGTGTATGTGCCTGTTTGTCTGACATTGTTTCTGCCTTTCAGGGAACAGCTATTATACCAAACATGCGCTCTGTTCTTCTGGATCCTAAGCACTGGGAGTCCCCTAAAGAGTTCAATCCAAACCATTTTTTGGACCAGGATGAACATTTTGTTGCTAAAGAACAGTTTCTGCCATTTGGTGCAGGTAAAAGTTGTTCATAGTGACTTGTGATATATCGGTGTGTCTTCTGGGGGGTTTCCATGATCAGAGCTGCTGCAGCCTCTGTCCTTTGTGAGTCAGTGGTGTTGATGCTCTGCAGCACATATTAATCAAGGCAGCAAAACATTCATTGCAATTATGGTGCAATTAAGAATCATAAACTAATACATGATGGTGCAATTATGGGAATTCAGAGACTTTCTGCCAATAAAGTCTGTAAAAATCCACGAGAGGGAAAAATGAAGAGAAAAACATGGGTGATGGATGTTGGTATAGGTAAGGAGGTTATTCTGCCATTTTAGTTTGCTTTGTTTTTATTTGGTAGTTCATAGCATTATGAAAATGCTTTTAGGAAGTGTTTACACTGAAGAAGCTTTAGGTGCCCTTAGCTTGCACTTCATTCACTCTTCCCTCTCCTCATTCCTCACTATTTTCTTTCTGGCAGACAGTTACACCAAAACTGTTGCTGCTGTATTCTTAATTGAAAGAAAATTGCCTCCCTCAGCCTCCCTATTTCGATCAGTTTGGCTTCTGGTGATAATATTCACACTTCTGCAGCGCTCAGCCAAATCATTGCCCAACAACACTGGCACTTCTAGATCATTAAACAATCCCATTCTCCATTTTCCAGTAAAGTTCTTATATTCTATTGGGATTTCAGCCACTGACACTTCGAACACAGGGCCATAAATTCCTCTCAGCTTGTACTTTTGGCCTGGAAGTATCTGGTCTGCCTTGACAAACTCTGGCCTAATGAGCGATACTTCAGACCCAGTGTCTCTGAATCCCATTAATTCTTGACCCTTTACTTTGATCACCCTCAAATAATCTCCATTTGACTCCTTCTCAGTACTCCATACACGCATTATCTTCACAGGCTCTTCCTGTGCATGTGGAGTCTGACTTTCTTCGTGTGGAGATATTTGCCTAACCACCTTCACTGGCTTTGGTGGTGTAACTGGCCTTTTCTGGGTGTTTAATTTGGGGCAAGCCGTTTTCTTATGACCCTCTTGATGGCAGAAGTAGCAGACAAGTTTTCCTGTGCCAATCTCTGGAATGCGGTCCCTCCTGACAGGATTTTGGTTTCCTACGTCAGTTTTCTCCTTTGGAACCCATTCCCTCGGTCTCTTGGTGGCTCCTGAGCCATGACTCACATTCCAGTCATGCTCCATCTCATCCAACCAAGCCGCGAGATCTGACACTTGTTTAATCTTCTTGTCCTTCACAAACCACCTCATTTGAATGGGAATCAGTCTATAAAACTGCTCCATACAAACTAAGTGTTTTAACTCCTCAAAAGTGGTTGTTTTACTCCCTTCCAGCCATCTATCTTCCCAACTGTGAAAAGGTTTCTCCTGGCTTCCTTTTGATCTCCCTGAACATCTTTCTACTTTGTTCAGGAGTCAAGCCAAACCTCAGCTTCACCCTTTCTTTAAATATGAGGTAATTCCCGCTCTCTGTCTCTCGCAGATCAGCATAAACCTCATTAAGTTCCCCACAAAGCAGGGGCCTCAGGTACACCATCATTTTATCTTCAGGTACCTGAAAATCATGAGCAGCCCGTTCAAATGCAGCGAGAAATGACTCAACGCAGTCCCCTTTCACATATCGGGGAAAGTTCTTTAACACCCTTTGCATGTTAGAGTCTTGCTGTTGGCCTAAGTTAGGAGTTCTCTCATGTTCTCTTAATTGTAGTTCTGCCATTCTCTCTTCATGTCTTAAACGCTCTCTTTCTCTTTCTACCTCAGCCATTCTTTCTCTGCCTCTCTTCAGCTTGCATCTGCATTTTTTCTCTTTCCAATTCAATCATTCTTTCCTTCTCTCTTTCTTGAAACTCAAGTTCTTTCAACCTCATTTCTAGCCTAAGCTTTTCAATTGACAAAGAGGTAGCTATTTGCTCTTGTCTACCCTCTTGTACTTGGGTCTCAGTCCCCTCAACTACAGACGCAGTAGTTTCCCCTTCTCTCTCTGGGTCTTCAGGAGTGCCCTTTTTTGTCTTTGGTGGTGCCATGGCCTAATGTGTTGTAAAATGGCGCTAGAGGTGTTCACTCTCTGAGGTAATTCTTGGTGTCACTTTCTGACAAACTTTTACCTCAGGATTTACACAAAAATGCCCTGGATTGAGGTGTTACACGAATCCACACCGCTGCAAACCAATTATAAAGGACTTTCTTAATTGGCCGTCTGGGCAGGGTCAAACAATCCCACCTCTCTTCACTACCAATTATAAAGATCTTTAGAGGTATGGGTGATAAATCAATATCCCACCTCTGACACCCTCAATTATAATAACTCAAAAAGAGGCTTTTGTAGGGTTTGAGGGGATGTCACGTTGTGTAAAACTTTCGCTGCCACCAAACTAAAGAAATCACGAACCCTCTAGCTATTAGTCTGTTAATAGGCTGTTTAGTATTACCACAAGGCTTTTTTACTCCACCATTAAAAATACTGTTGTATTAACCAGGGCTTTCTCTGAGGGGAAAACAGGAGAGGTTGATTTAAAAAGAAAGGGACTCAAAACCAAAAATAGCACTTGACTCAGGCTTTAAGTTTAAAAAATAATAAGAAAGAGTTTATTGATTACAATTACTGAATAACACGAGAATGCAGGTACTGAGGCTTGATGGTTACAGAATAAAAGTGTTCTTGTTTCTTATAAGCGTATTGGTTTCTAGAGAGAATGTTCTTTCTTAGTTACAGTTTCAATAAACACAGAACCCAGCTATTTTTTTCCTCAAAAGTAGCTGTAATCTCAGTCTGTCACAGCCTACTGTGCTGTACAGACTAAAGACAACCTGCCTATTTTAAAACAGAGACTCCTAAACAATCCAACTTCTACACTAATCTCTCTCTCAGAACTCAAACTGCTCTCTATTCTTCTCAGAACTCAGCTGAACTAACTCTAAAACTGTCAAATCTCACTGTTCTCTTTCCCTCCTTCTGCCTAACTCCGCCCCTATTCTCTAAACCAATCCTAGCTGTTGCTGGGCTGGCACAGGCCTCAGCCACTCCCCCTTCTGCCCTGGAGCTTTTCCCTACTCTAAAATGGCTCCAGCAGCACTCTGCCAGGCCTTCCAAGCTAAACTACCTAGCCTGACTTTCTCCTGGGGCCCTGCCACCCTGGATGGCAAGGTAAGGGATCTTTACACAAGGCATACACAACTAAAGCACTCCTGAAAGATGCCCTTTCAACCTTTGTTTACCATTGCCCAATGATGGAGAGGTCACCATCTTTCAATGTGGTCTATTCTAATTTAGTCAGCACTTTAAAATAACAGGTTCTTTCCAATGCTTAGGCAGAATGGCTTCTCTTGTAGTTTGAATCGGATCGGTTACTTTAAGAGGGTGGAGTGGATCATGGCTTTCCAATCCATTGTCCAGTTTTCAACCCATCCCTGTTTGCTGAATGGAATACATGCACACTTTCTGTCTTTGTTTCCCCTGTAGGGGCTCGGGCGTGTTTGGGGGAGCAGCTGGCAAGGATGGAGTTCTTCATCTTCGTTGTCAATCTGCTGAGGGCCTTCCGTTTTCAGCTGCCTCCAGGAGTCAAAGAACTCAACGAAGAACCTGAAGCAGGACTGTCAACACCACCCCATCCTTATAAAGTGTGTGCTGTTCCTCGCTGTAGTTCATCATAAAATATACAAAAATAATAGCAATGGCATGTACTTCATTGCTATAATATAAATGGGTTCCTGAACGAAATGCATACAACAAAAATACCACTTGTATAACATAAACAATAATATAATTGAACAACAGTATATAAACATGCTGCACTGTTAACCTCACAGCGACAACAAACAATATGGTGCAAATTTTTAGTACAGTCGTATCTTCTTATAAGTAGCTTGTGGATCAGCCATCCACGACCGGTTTCGGCCTACCTCAGGCCTTCTTCTGGTGGACTGAAATTAATGTACAAATCAATGTTTTACTCCAGTAGCATACATATAGAACAGTATAGTGTGTTGTGGGTTGGTCTACTTCTCTGGGGATCTGTTTTCATATCCTCACTTTGCCATGGAAACTCCTAGGCAATCTCGGGGAACCGTACACTCTCAGAGGAAGGTCATGGCAAACCATTATGAACAAATGTTACTGAGAAAAGCCTGTGATTGGTTCACCTTAGGGTTCCCCTAGATCTGAAAGACACACTATAGCATCCCATAACTTTAGAGAAGTGGCAGAGCTCTCTGAAACATCCCATGTTTCTCAGATGCAGTAGGAGCCATATCCAGACCACAAAGTTTGAATTTGCTATATAGACACACTATCCCTGAATGTCCCCTCTTGTTGTGTAGAATTAATCCAACTTCTTGGTTTTCTGAGGAGTTGGCATTGATGAAGCGCTCAAGATGGAGACTAGAGTGCCTTTGGTGGAAATCTTGGACCGAGCATGGCTAGAGCTTCTATTAAGGCCTATTCCATGGCCTTGGGGGCAGCCAAGAAATCTTTCTCTATTGCCCACATCGCATCTGCAACCAATAGATCGGCTGAGTTGTTTCGGGTTGTCAGGGAGCTCCTTCACCTCCCGGTTGGGGAGGGGGGGGCTCTTGATAATCCAATCACTCAATGCAGCAAGTTCACGCATCATTTTGCAGACAAAGTCGCTTAGATATGCTCCGACTTGGATGCCAAGTTTCATACAGTGCCAGGTGAGGAAACAGAGGCATCTGTCAGTTTGATCTTACTGGATTCATTTCAGCTTGTGCAGTCCGATGACGTGGAAAGGATCCTGGGAGCGGTGAGAACAACCACATGCACACTAGATCCTTGCCCCTCATGGCTTATAAAACTTGCCGGAGGAGGGTTGGCAGACTGGCTGTCAAAGATAATAAATGCGTCATTGGAGCAAGGGCAAATTCCACCGTGCCTAAAATTGGCAGTTGTGAGACCCCTTTTTTAAAAAGGCATATCTTGACTTGTCAACATTGAACAACTATTGGCCGATTTCAAATCTTCCTTTTCTGGGCAAGTTTCTGAAGTGAGTGATTGCTTTTCAGCTCCAGGGATTCATGGATGAAACCGATTATCTGGATCCATTGCAGTCTGGTTTCAGGTCTGGTCACGGTACTGAGACGGCTTTGGTCACCTTGGTGGATGACCTCCACAGAGAACCTGACAGGGGGAGTGTGATCTTGTTAGTTCTCTTAGATATCTCAGCCATTTTCGATACTATGGATCATGATATCCTTCTGGGATATCCTTCTGATATCCTTCTGATATCCTCTCCAAAATGGGTCTTTGGGGTACTGCATTGTAGTGGCTCCACTCCTTTCTGGAGGGCCGCACCCAGTTGGTGAAGCTGGACGATACTTGCTCAGACCCCTGGCCTTTGACCTTTCTTTCCCTCATGTTTTTAAACATCTACATGAAACTGCTGGGTGAGGTCATCTGGAGTTTTGGAGTTCGTTGTCATTTCTACGCAAATGACATGCAGCTCTACTACTCCTTTCCACCTAACTCCAAGGAAGCCCCTCGGATCCTGGACCAGTGTCTGGCCGCTGTGATGGACTGAATGAGGGCTAACAAGCTGAAGTTGAACCCTGATAACACAGAGGTCCTCCAGGTCAGTCGCTTGGCCGAACAGGTTGCCAATGGAGTGTAATCCCATTGGCAACCTATGTTCAATGGGGTTACACTTCCCCTGAAGACACAGGTGCGCAGTTTGGGGGTCCTCCTGGATTCAGCGCTGATGCTTGATGCTCAGGTGTTGGCGGTGGCCGGGAGAGCCTTCACACAGTTAAAGCTGTGACCGTACCTCGAGAAGTCTGACTTGACCACGGTGGTCCATGCCTTAGTTACCTCAAGATAGTATTACTGAAATGCACTCTACGTGGGGCTGCCCTTGAAGACAGTTCAGAAACTACAGTTGGTTCAAACATCACAGGCCAGATTGTTAACTGGAGCAAGTTACAGGGAGCGGTCAACCCCCCCCCCCCCCCCCCCCCCGTTTAAACAGCTTCACTGGCTGCCAATAAGTTTCTGGTCCCAATTCAAGGTACAGGTTATCACCTATAAAGCTCTAAATGGTTCAGGACCTGCCTATCTTCATGACCGTATCTTCCCCTGTGAGCCCACACAGTCTCTAAGATCCTATGGGGAGGCTCTTATCTCACTCCCACCCCTGTCTCAGGCACAGTTGGTGAAGATGAGGGAAAGGGCCTTCTTGGTGATGGCCCCTTGTCTCCGGAACTCCCTCCCTAAGGAGATCAGGCTGGCACCCTCCCTATCCATGTTTCATAAGGAACTAAAGACGTGGATGTTCAATTGTGCATTCGATTAACAATTCCTTTGACAGATGGCCAAAATCACGTTCTCGTATCTGATTACTGCACTTTTAAGTTAAAATGATCCTGTCACAACTATTCTATATGCCATATGTTTTATCCTCCTTATTGATCAGCCTATTCTCTAACTTGTTTGCACCCCACACCCAAATGGGACTAAAAATATTTCTGGTTGTTGCTTTTGATGCTTGTTTTATTATTGTTTATGATGTTTTTTATGGTGTTTTATTATTTTATTTGCCTTGTTTTAACTGTATGTTGTTTTGGGCTTGGCCCCATGTAAGCTGCCCCGAGTCCCTTCGGGGAGAGGCAGGGCATAAAAATAAAGTTCTTCTTCTCTTCTTCAAGACCTCATTTGATTGTGGCTTTGTATATATTAGAATTTCAGCATCCATGGATTTTGGTATCCAAATTGGTTCCTTGAATTGAACTCCAGTGGATACTATGGCCCCCTATAAATCTATATAAATAAAAATGTAAATGTCAGTTTGTTCATTACCTCAAACCTCCCAAAATACTTCACCAAAGTATGAAATGTTGACACAATGTAGCATTCAAACAGTCAAATGTTTTCAATGTTTTCGCATACCTACTATTATATAGATGTCACAGGTTTTTATCTGTGACAGGTAAAAATATGCTTTGCATCATAACAGCACCATCTGCTGGATGCCCAAGAAACACATGCTATACAGTTACACGATTCAATTTCAATCTTTCCAAATGCTTTGCTACGTTGAATTTTCTTACACTAGAGAGGTTTGGAGAGAATGCACAATGATTTATATGAGTTGTAGGTACTGGGATGTATAGTTCACCTACAATCAATGAGCACTTTGAAATTGGACCAAACTTGGCACAAAGAGCCCCATGATGAGTAAAATGTACTGGAGTTCTTTGTAGAAAGTTCACCTTTATTTGGGGGAGTTGTAGTTCACCTACATCCAGAAAGCATTGTCAACACAAACACCGATGGATCTGGACCAAACTTGGGCACACATGCCTGATATGCCAAAATTTGTTTACTGGAGGTGTTTTGGGGGAACAAACTTTCCTTTCTGGGAGTTGAAGTTTACCCACAACCAGGGAAACTGTGACCTCCATTTGGTTTCATTTTAATTTAATTGCGTTGGAATTCTCCAGTGCCTGGAATATCAGTATGCCAAGAAATCACACTGTAGAAGTGAGGCAGACATGGCTAAAGACCTTGGCGAACTACAACCACTCTCATGACTTCACGCCTTTGAGTTGGGGTGATGTCAAAGCTGCACCCGATCTCCAGGCAYAGAGCTAAAGGAGGCAGCAGCAGTGAGTCACCCACTTCCTGAATGGTGCTGTTGTCGAGCAATTTAGAATGGCTGTGGATTAGGCCCAAGCCATTGTGGGTTGCCTGGTGAGAAAAGAGAAGCCAATATTCCAGAATAAATCTCACCAAGTTGAAGTAGAAGCCACCAAGATATTTATTTTGTTCCAGCTGAAGCAGATGTCAATCATTTGCCAAAGCRGAGATAGTTTGCAAAGGGAAATACTACAGTTTTTATAGAAAATACAAGTTGCCAGGTTCAAATCCCCCCCCCCTTTGCCGGCTCCCTGCTGATTGGATGGWGTCATCAGCTGGCTGGGAGTTGCAGCCGGCTTAGCCATGCCTCAACCAATCAGGGAGCCAGCACCGCTTTGGCCTCTCGGCCAATGAGAAGGAAGGAGGCGGTCCAGGTGGGAAAACAATGAACCGGGAGAAAAAAATGAATGGATTAAATGACTAATGTTTGTATAAGCACTGGTGATAGCTTTTCCTAAGCTTTCGAGCCAGCTCGATTATTGTGCTTGGTTCCTGGAAATATTTCTTTAACTGATTAGGAAGTCAGTCCCTTTGTTGTCCTTGGGTCTGGGATATGGGGGGGTCTGTTGATGATATCTTGGATCAGTATCTGTTGCAACTCAGGGTAGGCTTCACCTTGCTTCCAAATACCACCACAGAAGAGCTGTAGTTTTATAGTTTATTGAGGAAAAAATCCAAGACAAAATAAAGAGTAAGCATTGCAAAGTTCCAAAGATCTTCAGGTAAAAGCAGGAGACATAATCCTATTGGCAAAGTTCAAACCAGAGTCCCAAGTACAAGCAAGGAAACATATGCCCCAAGAATCCCAATGCAAGAAGTCCCAAGCATCCCGCTCCAGGCTAAGATTATTCCATGAAGCTTTCGGGCTAATAAGCTACATTGAACTGACAGTTTCGCTTCCTTTGTGTGAAGCCTAAATAGCGTTTTCTAATTATGAAAACATCCTGCTCTCACAGTGGTCCCATGACCTTTCCCCGACCTGGCCTCTCATCTACAGATCAAGGCCTTCCCTATCAGTGTGGGAAGACACCTGGGTGCTGACTCCCTTATTGGCATTTCTTTCTTATGAGAACCGCTTGCTAAAATCTCCCCTGACTGTGAGAGCCTCGAGCTGAGGCACAGAAAAACAGCCAGGAATCTGAATCCCATCACTCTCATCACACTGAGCCACAACAGTATCGGCCAGAGGAATTGGCACAATGGAAGGAGTCTGAGGTGACCAAACACCTTTCGTGAAAGATAATTAGAATGTCCTTAGAATCCATCCCTCAAATGGGCAAGTCTTTGGCTTCTCCGAGGTCTGAGGAAGTAGAGTCATTTGTTTATCAGTCATGCAAAATGTCCTTGGTGAGTCCTTTTATCTAGGAATTAGCTGGCACAGGAAGTGGGAGAAAGTTTTCTGAAGGCACGAAGTGCTGGGTTCACGAAGAGGTGACATTTCATATGTCATATAGGGATATAGGGAAGGGGCGAAGGCATACAAGGAGTTAATAAGAGTAAAATCATGCAAATTGCAAAGGGAATCATGCCAGCCCTCCCTCCCTCCAGAGTCCATCAAGGGTTCATATAGATCATTGAAATATCATAAAAGTTCATAAGGGTTTGGTATAGGGTCCATAATTCCAAAGTCCATGAAAAGTTGATTAAAGGTTTCTAAAAGTTCATAGAAAGTCCATAAAGTGTGGGTTACAGGGGCATTGCCATGTGGGGCCATGGGGCCATGGAAAGTGCCTTAGGTTCCCACATGGGGGAGAGATAGGGAATTATGGGATCATTCCAGCCTGGTGTCCTTGGTAAAACTATGAATTCTTGGTTTTGAACCATCTTTTACAGAGACCTGGAAGGGGGGGGGGTCACCTCCAGGTGCTCTATGGGTAGCTGCGACGACAACATGGGAAGGTCGGCGGTGGTGACTCCCAGGACCAGTAGGAACCCAGCCACTGGCCTCATGGCAGAGCAATGGTGATGGAAGGGCCACGGGGAGAAAGAAGAGGTAGGAGAGGTGGAAATGAAAGCAGTGGGCAGATGTGGATGTCTTTTCTATGCCTGCTTTTTCAGCTATGAATTAAAGAAATTCATTCAGCTTCACTACAATCCCCTTATCTCCCATTAGTAATCCTTTCTTTGTCGTACCCTTTATAGACTCCTGTCAATTCTTCTGTGTTCGTGCATTTTCCCCATGTTCTCTTGTCCAAGCCTTTCATTTCTTAAATCTTTGATATTCTTGTTTAACCATGCTGATGGCCTTGGTAATGTTTTGGTTATCTTTTCTGACGTGAGGCATTTTCAGCTGAGCTTCTACTACTTGCTCACAGTTCATAGAGCAGTTGTTCTTTGGCAGCTGACATGCCTTCGATGTTGATTGAGATTATTGTCATGGTTGGTCCTGAAAAGGGCCGTTGGTTGTTTTGCTTTCTTGTTTGCATGCTGCAAGTTGTCTCTGGTTGCTTCTGGATCGAGAGAATCGGCCATCTACGAAGACGTTGCCCAGGGGACGCCTGGACAAGTGGCCAGACACTGGTCAAAGGACATTTAACCAACTACCAAGTTTGCAAAATCTGTGTGGTTTTTTTTTGTTTTTTTGTTTGTTTTTTTAATCTGTGTGTTTGTTTTGTTCTGTTAGAATTGTAATACAATGGTATGGTTGCTGATGACACGATAAATAAATAAATACTACTTACTTGTCAGTACCTCCCAAGTATTTTGGAAACAGATGAACTTCTTGATTTCCCTTTCAACTTGTTTATTGACCTCATTACATGAGCAGTTTCCTCTTTAGTACACAAATGTGTTGTTGTTGTTTATTTATTCAGTTGCTTCCGACTCTTTGTCCCCTACTGGGCCAGCCCATGCCAGAGCTCCCTGTCAGCCGTCACCACCCCCAGCTCCTTCAGAGTCAAGCCAGTCACTTCAAATGTGATTAGATTCAAGTTTCTAATTGGTAATATTTAAATATTGCCTACCTCGGTTTTTTTTATCATGCCTTTCTGTGGAACAGATAATATTTGTAAGTAATCAGTATACAAATATTTTATTACAGTGAATATTGAAATTACAATAATATTTTTCTATCCCTCAGAATATAGGTCTTTCTAAACATGTGAAGGCAAATGTAGCCTTGTTTCTGAGAAAGTCATAGACTGGAGTCTTTTATGGCACTTACAACTGGGTAACACAGAGTTGTGCACTTGTAGCTATCATGTTACCTATGCAGCCTCTAGTTTAGGGACCATATTGGAACTGTGAAGGGCCTAAATACCCCAAAGGCACCAGATCCTGTCTGATCTCTGAAACTAAGCAGGGTCAGCCCTGTTTAGTTTCTGGAAGGAGGAGACTGCCAATGAATACCAGAGGTAGGAACTGGGAAACCCACCTTTAGTACTCCTTACTTAAGAAAATTCAATGAAATTAATGAAATTGGCACAAGTCAACACACAACATGAAGGTATAAACCTACGTTCAAAGTGACCATGAGCTCACTGGATTAATCTCGGGGAGGAGGCAGATTGAAAACAAGATGAATTGATTCCTTCATGTGATAACTTCCTTAGCCTAAATAAACACATGATTTCTCATATGCAGATATATTGCATGCCCATTCAATGTAGGGCATTTTTTTTACTATACGTGGTACAAAACAGGTCTCATGTTGCATATATATGTATGAGGACGTGAGCAGCAAAGAGAGGAAAGAACATTGAACCATCCTCTTTCAACCTTTTCCTAACTAATTGGAAATAACTAAAGAGGAGGACAACAGGAGAATGGAGGGAAGTGGGATATTTTTGATTCTTCTGACTGCGATTCTTCTGCTTGTCTACTTCCTGAAACAGCAGTGGTCACGCCGACATTTCCCGCCTGGGCCTCTTTCCCTTCCTGTCATTGGAGGCATATGGAAATTTAACTTTGGAATTGGATACACTGTAGAGACACTAATAAAGGTACATTTTTTCTACTAACTTATGAATCTGATTCAGAATTAGTGAAAATCATTGTGATGTTTTTTCTATGTTGGCTGTGGACAAAAGAATTGTGAGTTACAATAATAGTTAAATGTTTGACATGACCCTGGGGATTTATGGCCAGGTAAGTGCATCCAGACTGTCTACAGACTGTGGCCAGGAAATCAGAAGACGCTTACTTCTTGGGAGGAGAGCAATGTCCAGTCTCGACAAAATAGTAAAGAGTAGAGACATCAGACTAGCAACAAAGATCCATTGCCTAGTCAAAGCCATGGTATTCCCTGTAGTCACCTACGGATGTGAGAGCTGGACCTTAGGGAAGGCTGAGCGAAGGAAGATAGATGCTTTTGAGCTGTGGTGTTGGAGGAAAGTGCTGAGAGTGCCTTGGACTGCGAGAAGATCCAACCAGTCCATCCTCCAGGAAATAAAGCCTGACTGCTCATTGGAGGGAAGGATACTAGAGACAAAGCTGAAGTACTTTGGCCACATCATGAGGAGACAGCAAAGCCTAGAGAAGACAATTATGCTGGGGAAAGTGGAAGGCAAAAGGAAGAGGGGCCGACCAAGGGCAAGATGGATGGATGGCATCCTTGAAGTGACTGGACTGACCTTGAAGGAGCTGGGGGTGGTGACGGCCGACAGGGAGCTCTGGCATGGGCTGGTCCATGAGGTCACGAAGAGTCGGAGGCGACTGAACGAATGAACAAAAACAATTTCATTAAAGCTTTGCAAGAGTTTGGAGATATTGCTTACCCAAGATACAACTCTCAGAATCTTCTAAGCAGCAGAGACGTCATGTGTTATTGCTACAGTCCAAAACATAACTTTTCCCAGCCCTGCTTCCTGCCCCCCTCCCCAAAGATTTCCCCCAACAGTGCATGAATGTACAATGAACAGCATACTTTTTGCATGCAATGAGACATCTTCCTTTCCTCTGCTGTGCACAGTCTTCAGAGTTTCTTACATATCTGCTGTGGATGGTCCTTCAAGGCCTCAGAGCAATTTTGATGACATGAAGGGAACCAGTGTGAAACACTTCCTCCTTCACAAAATCAGTTCATCAGCAGAATAGCTTCATAAAAACTACATCTGATTAACAATATAGATGAAGTGTAGGATGTTATATAGAACAGAAGGGGGAGGCAGAATGTAAGAACGTTGGGATTTAAATCTCTGCAATGTCTTTTGTATAGAGGGGGAAATCACATTGGCCATGCTTAGAAGAACACTGAATAGATGCCAAAGAGTTGGTTGCGGTAGTCTGTGTCAGCATTAAGTGGAAAGCATGGGTTGCATGGGGGTGAAAGAATTGAGCAGCACCTTTGAGGCGAACCCATTTATTTTAGCACTAACTTAGTTACCTGGTGATGCCTGGGTTAGATATTTGGTAAGGATGAACATTAGTCATTGTTTTTTTTTCTGGGCATTTTAGCCAATGACCCCATTAGTAAATGCATAAAGTTGTGGGTAGACTATAACTCCAATCATCCTCTGTCAGTGCTACCCAAACTCCCCAAAATTGATCATGATGGGAATGTGTGCCAAATTTGGTTCAGATCCATCAGTGGGATTCAGAGTGGTCTCTGGATGTGGACAGATTGCAGCTCCCATCATTTTCTTTCATTGCCTCCACCCCAAGCCATACAGGTATTAAAAGTTGGTCATAATGGGTTTGTCTGCCAAGTCTGGTCCAAATCCATTCTGAGTTAGGTTCAGAGTACTATTGATTATGGATGATTTCTAACCCCTTTCTTTTTCTGTCATGTGTGTCAAGTTTGGTCCAGATCCATAATCAATGTGGTGTGGTGTTCTCTGGAAGTTCTCTTTGGATGAGGGGTGAACTGCAATTCCCATAATCCAGGATCAATTCCTACCCCCAGCCCCCCCTCCCAAAAAAAACCCTCCTCCAGTATTTTCTGTTGGTCATGGTGGGCATGTGTGCCAAGTTTGGTCTAGACTCTAGAACAGTGGTTCTCAACCTTCCTAATGCTGTGACCCCTAAATACAATTCCTCAGGTCATGGTGATCCTCAACCATAAAATTATTTTTGTTGCTAATTCATAACTATCATTTTGCTCTTTTAAATGGTCTTTTAACTTATGATGATGTTTTAGTTAATTAGGAATTCACAGGTGTAACGCCAGGGAGGGAGAGGGAAGCCACCGGTTTGTAAAGAAGCATGCACCTATGTGTGGTCCTCTGTCAACACTTTAATATCTGGGACTCTCTGTGTGTTGTAAAACAAAAGCCTCTTGGCTTTGAAACACAGGCTGGAGGCTCTCTTATACGTAACAAATGTAACGAAGTTTATTCAAACACTTCAGGTTCCAAACACTTGATATTTTTGTTGCAAACTTGAGTTACAGTCATGTATAATATACTTGGTGCACTTTCCTTTTAAACTCTTGACAGGATAATATTGTAACTTAAGCCACACTGGCTATAACTTATTCTCTGATTCCCCACTGTCTCTCTCTCTCTCTCTCTCTCAGACAGGGTTAACTTCTTCTCTTCACACACAGATTCCTAACTGTTCTCAAACAGCTTTTCCTTAACTAACTTCACAAGCAGCCATTCTTAACTAACTCTCTAACGGAGATTCCTCACTGTCTCCCTCAGACAGTGTTTCTTAACTTCTTCTTTTAGGCAGAGATTCCCAACTCTCCTTTTCTTAAACAGGAAGTCCTAACTACTTCAATAACAGAAGTTCCTGACTTCTTTTCTCACACAGAGATCCCTAACACATTTTCTTAACTGCTCATTTCTCAAACTCTGTTCCCAACTGTCATTTTCTAAACTCTCTACTCTAACTGCCTCTTTTTAAACTTAACTCCGCCCCTTTAGAACGTTTGGCTCTGCTCTTCCCAACTGTCTGCACTAATCTGCATAGGACCAATCGGGCTCCATATGCAAATGATCTTGTCCGCTGTTGCTATACTACTTGTCTCTAATCTTCCCTATCTGCCCCCTGCAAACATAGATCTGTGCACTAAAATTTTCACACAGAGTAACAAATTCGCTTGTTCTTCATTCGTTCAGTCGTCTCCGACTCTTCGTGACCTCATGGACCAGCCCACGCCAGAGCTCCCTGTCGGCCGTTACCACCCCCAGCTCCCTCAAGGTCAGTCCAGTCACTTCAAGGATGCCATCCATCCATCTTGCCCTTGGTCGGCCCCTCTTCCTTTTGCCTTCCACTTTCCCCAGCATTAATTGTCTTCTCTAGGCTTTCCTGTCTCCTCATGATGTGGCCAAAGTACTTCAACTTTGTCTCTAGTATCTTTCCCTCCAGTGAGCAGTCGGGCTTTATTTCCTGGAGGATGGACTGCGTTGGATCTTCTCGCAGTCCAAGGCACTCTCAGCACTTTCCTCCAACACCACAGTTCAAAAGCATCGATCTTCCTTCGCTCAGCCTTCCCTAAGGTCCAGCTCTCACATCCGTAGGTGACTACAGGGAATACCATGGCTTTGACTAGGCGGATCTTTGTTGTCAGTCTGATGTCTCTACTCTTCACTATTTTATCGAGACTGGACATTGCTCTCCTCCCAAGAAGTAAGCGTCTTCTGATTTCCTGGCTACAGTCTGCATCGGCAGTAATCTTTGCCCCTAGAAATACAAAGTCTGTCACGGCCTCCACGGTTTCTCCTTCTATTTTCCAGTTGTCAATCATTCTTGTTGCCATAATCTTGGTTTTTTTGACGTTTAGCTGCAACCCGGCTTTTGCGCTTTCTTCTTTCACCTTGATTAGAAGGCTCCTCAGCTCCTCCCCGCTTTCGGCCATCAGGGTGGTGTCATCTGCATATCTGAGGTTGTTAATGTTTCTTCCAGCAATTTTCACCCCAGCTTTGCATTCATCAAGCCCCGCACATCGCATGATGTGTTCTGCATACAAGTTAAAAAGGTTGGGTGAGAGTATGCAGCCTTGCCGTACGCCTTTCCCAATCTTGAACCAGTCTGTTGTTCCCGTGGTCAGTTCTTACTGTTGCTACTTGGTCCTTGTACAGATTCCTCAGGAGAGAGACAAGGTGGCTTGGGATGCCCATCCCACTAAGAACTTGCCACAATTTATTATGATCCACACAGTCAAAGGATTTAGAATAGTCAATGAAGCAGAAGTAGATGTTTTTCTGAAACTCCCTGCCTTTCTCCATTATCCAGCGGATATTGGCAATTTGGTCTCTCGTTCCTCTGCCTGTTCTAAACCCAGCTTGAACATCTGGCAACTCTCGCTCCATGTATTGCTGGAGTCTTCCTTGCAGGATCTTGAGCATTACCTTACTGGCATGAGAAATAAGGGCCACTGTACGGAAGTTTGAGCAGTCTTTCGTGTTTCCCTTTTTTGGTATGGGGATATAAGTTGATTTTTTCCAGTCTGATGGCCATTCTTGTGTTTTCCATATTTGCTGGCAAATGGCATGCATCACCTTGACAGCATCATCTTTTAAGATTCAGCTGGGATCCCGTCGTCTCCTGCTGCCTTGTTGTTAGCAATGCTTCTTAAGGCCCATTCAACCTCACTCCTCAGGATGTCTGGTTCTAATTCATTCACCACACCGTCAAAACTATCCTCAATATTATTATCCTTCCTATACAGATCTTCTGTATAGTCTCGCCACCTTCTCTTGATCTCTTCAGCTTCTGTTAGGTCCCTGCCATCTTTGTTTCTTATCATACCAATTTTTGCCTGAAATTTACCTCCAATGTTTCTAATTTTCTGGAAGCGGTCTCTTGTCCTTCCTATTCTGTTGTCTTCTTCCACTTCCATGCATTGCTTATTTAAAAATAGTTCCTTATCTCTTCTGGCTAACCTCTGGAATTGCGCATTTAACTGGGCATAGCTCCCCTTATCCCTGTTTCCTTTTGCTTTCCTCCTTTCTTGGGCTACTTCCAGTGTCTCAGCAGACAACCATTTTGCCTTCTTGGTTTTCTTTTTCTTTGGGACGTACTTTGTTGCCGCCTCCTGAACAATGTCTCGGACTTC